AAGTGATTCGAATCCTTTTTTTTTTTTGGAAAAAGGATTCGAACATTGGATCCGTGATTCGAATCACATCTCGTGATTCGGATTCGAATCCATTTTTCGAGGATTCATCCCAGCTCTGAACTGCAAATGGATTACTCCATAATTTCTCAATTTGATCATGTTAAATCTAGTGGGCAGTTGTCAAATGTAGTAGCACTGTTAGGATTAGTCTTAAATAGAGTTTTGAGTGATAAAATTCGTTATTTTTATATTCAGCAGATTAAGAGAAATCGAAAGTTTTCGCCCAAAAAGAGTCATGGTTCGAGATTTACAGCAGGAGAAAAAGCTATTAAATATTGTTGAAGATAACCCAGCAACAAGTATCCGTCATATATCTGCCAATGTTGGTTTACGTTAGGGTACTGTGTCTAAAATTTTACATGAACAACAATTATACCCGTACCATTTAATTCCAGTCCAAAATCTATTGCCAGATGATCTTTTAGCGAGAACAAATTTTGGTCAGTTTGTCTTAAATAAAAACCTATTCATTCATGAGGCAACATTTACGAGAAGAGGAATTTTCAACTACAAAAATGCTCACACATGGGTTGTAGAAAATCCAAACACTGCGAGAGTGCGGCACTTTCAGCTGAATTTAAATTAAACATTTTTTTTTGTATAGTCGAAGATAACCTTATAGGACCTTTTGAACTTCCCGCAAAAATGACTGGAAATTATTACTTACATTTGCTTGAGTACAACTTATTTGATCTACTAGATCAGTATTTCCCAAAGTGGTCCTGGGCGACTCGACGGGGGTCTACGTTGGGCGTAATAAAAAATGGGGGTCCACAATCGTAAGCGGGGGTGCATGAAAATTAATTTGGTTTTGATAGTAAAGTAATATACAATTAAACAATTGATTACTTATTTTTCCATGTGATGAAGAAATTCTTGTAAAAAACTTCAACTGTTTATAATATAAACAGTCAACATTTTAGTTACTAAAATGTTGACTTGACTTCTCTTATCAATATAGGCAAATAATATTTTAAGAAGCTTAGCGACTGTTACTTGTAAAAACTTGAATATTCCATATTCAGTACAACGCGTCGAGACTTGTGGTTACCGCGCTGGCCGCCGTCCCGTCCACAACGCTTGTTCAAACGTGCAAATTAATACGACTTGTGGTGTATGTGCTTGCAATCTTGCATAAACGTGTTTGATTATTCACCAATATAAATACAAATGTCAAGGATAATCGTTACTCATTTGTTTCTGGAGTTTCATAAAGAAAAGTGAATCGATATTAGTGTTGGCCAGTGACTGAATTTGTTTCCAGACTTTCGATAAGAAAAGTGAAGTGAATCGATATTAGTAATTGCCAGTGTTGGAAAAGTACCTACCTGCCTATTTGTTATATGCATATAGTTTTAAGCAGAGAAAGATTGATTTTATCGTCCCTACTTTATTTTTATTACCTATCTAATTCATTTAATTATTGCGGAGTTTTGATATCAAAATATTGTTTAAAAGTTTCTATAGAATTTACAGAAATATATAAAAATATAATAAATGAAATAATAATTTTATATCACATTAAAATAAGTTCAGCCGTTTTCATTAAACTCTATTATGGATCTTAGCGATTTATTGCTTTTAATAATTAGAAACAGTTTGCAGCCGGAACTTTGTTTATCTCATAATATTTATAATAATTAATTAATCATATTATGTTAAAATACACAACATGGCCGAATCTTAGAAGAACTGTCATCAGTACAGTGTTGAATATTTAAAATTTGGTGTTCTTCCATCAAAGGCAGACAAACGATTGCCGACATGCCTTTTATGCAACAAAGTTTTGAGCAATGGCTCTATGAAACCATTAAAGCTGGAAGATCATCTAAGAAGGTGTCATCCTGATAAAATAGGTCAAGATTTAAAATAGTTTCAAACATTAAAGGAAAAATATGAAAAGAGACCCACCGTACACAGTATGTTCTCTTCAACGTCTGAAAGCAACGATGATGGCTTGCGGGCATCTTACAATATCTCATTACTTATCGCAAAATCTGGAAAACCGCACACCATTGGAGAACAGCTAATTTTACCTGCTGTTGAAGAGGTTTAAAAAACTGTTCTGCACAAATCTTCATTTGACATACTCAAAAGAATTCCTTTGAGTAACAAACTGTACAAAGACGTATTGATGAAATGAGCTCTGATGTTCAAAGTTTCTTGTGTGATTATCTACGAACAACTCATTTTTCTATTCAACTGAACGAGTTAACTTTACCTGGCAATAAAGCATTATTATTGGCATATGTTCGATTTGTTATGGACGAAGAAATTCATGAAAAGCTACTATTCGCGAAAACGTTGAAGACGAACACTAAAGGTAAATCAATATTTAATGTTTTGAGTGATTTTTTTATATAAAAATCGATTCCATTTACAAACGTTATTTCGGTGGCAACAGATGGAGCTCCTGCCATGGTCGGGCGATATCGTGGGTTTATAAGCCATCTTAAAAGAATTATACCAGAGGTAATTGCGATTCACTGTGTTATCCACCGACAACATCTAGTAGCGAAAAATTTGAGTGATAGATGGCACCAATCGCTTCAATTTGTGATTAATGCAGTTAACAAAATAAGAAGCAATGCATTGAATACGGATTTATTTGCACAATTGTGCGATGAAAATGATGAAGACTTCCAACGATTGCTGTTACATACCGAAGTACGCTGGTTGTCGAAAGGTGCATATTTATCAATATTTTATTTACTTTTTGACTCAGTTTTTGGAAAGTAAGGATCCTGATTTAAAAAAAAAGATCAATTTGACAGATTTGTTCAAAAAATTTAATGACCTCAACTTACAATTACAAGGAGACAGCCTCAATTTAATAAAAACAAAGAGTCTAATTTTAGCTTTTCTTGGTAAATTGAAATTTATGAAGGAAAATATTGGTCGGGCGTATTTTCAGTTTTCAAACTTGTCGCAGGTAGAATGCCTTGATGAAGAAATTCAGACATACGTTCAACATTTGAGTGCCCTGCATGATGATTTTAAATTCAGATTTGAAGATATTCTGTCGATGTAAATACCACCATGGATCATAAATCCATTTGATGAAACGGAGGTGGAGAATGTGATATTACAAGAGGAGCTACTCGAGCTTAGCACTAATGAGGAACTGAAAGTGACATTTAAAAGAGGGAATCAAAAATTTTGGCTGCAGGCAGAAATAGTCGAAAAATATCCTGGACTGTGGGGAATTGTGCAAAAGCTTCTGATAACGTTTCCCTCGTCATATCTTACTAACTCACAATTGTTACTTAATATTTCGGAATTGTGACTTATTATCTCACAATTGTGACATATTATCTCGTAATTGCGACTTATAATCACGCAATTGTGAGTTACTATCTCGCAATTGTGACTTATTTTCTCACAATTGCGACTTATTATCATGCAATTGTGAGTTACTAACTCACAATTGTTACTTAATATCTCGGAATTGTGACTTATTATCTCGCAATTGTGACATATTATCTCGTAATTGCGACTTATAATCTCGCAATTGTGAGTTACTATCTCGCAATTGTGACTTATTTTCTCACAATTGCGACTTATTATCATGCAATTGTGAGTTACTAACTCAAAATTGTTACTTAATATCTCGGAATTGTGACTTATTATCTCGCAATTGTGACATATTATCTCGTAATTGCGACTTATAATCACGCAATTGTGAGTTACTATCTCGCAATTGTGACTTATTTTCTCACAATTGCGACTTATTATCATGCAATTGTGAGTTACTAACTCACAATTGTTACTTAATATCTCGGAATTGTGACTTATTATCTCGCAATTGTGACATATTATCTCGTAATTGCGACTTATAATCTCGCAATTGTGAGTTACTATCTCGCAATTGTGACTTATTTTCTCACAATTGCGACTTATTATCATGCAATTGTGAGTTACTAACTCACAATTGTTACTTAATATCTCGGTTGTGACTTATTTTCTCACAATTGCGACTTATTATCATGCAATTGTGAGTTACTAACTCACAATTGTTACTTAATATCTCGGAATTGTGACTTATTATCTCGCAATTGTGACATATTATCTCGTAATTGCGACTTATTATCTAACAATTGTCACTTGTTTTCACGCAATGGCAGGATAATATATTACAGCATCTCTGTAAATTTATTTGCAGCCTATTTATGTAAAGCTGATGAACGATAAACGTATGGGTGAGGGGGTAGGGTAGGGGCCCCAGGAAGCTTTCGTATAATAAACTATAATTTACTTTTAAGCAAGCTCCTGTGTTTAATTAAACCATATCCCAAAATTGGAACATGACTCGTATCTCTGTTTTTGTCTGTCTTGGCATACTCTGAAAGTTAGGCTTAAAGTTAATGGTTTTTGGAAATTTTAAGTTTAAATGGCCCAGTTGTAATTTATTATCAACTGAATAAGTTTTTGACAATATCAAAGTGTTTTTAAACATAATAGTTGCTCAAAATTATTATTACTGGGGCCTCCTATGGAGTCTCAGCATTGGATTTTTGACAACGAAAACAAAAAAAACTTCTTAGCCCCACTTTTTAACACAAACTGAGCTGTTATTTAGTTTAAGTGAAAGTGATGAGTGAAAATAATACTTTGAGATAAATTAAATGTGGATTCTTACGCGAACATATGCGAAAACTTTTGCATAGCCTTTAACGAACTCCAGAATGAAACTCGTAACTGAATTTGATATTAGGATTAAAAAGGTGAAGGTTCCAAATATTATTTAACATGAGCAAGTTTAAGGACTAAAGTTCCAAAATATATTTATACAGACAATCTTAAGGGCAAAAGGAGCAAATATTTTGATATGTACCACGCGTGTTATTTCTCCCATTTTCCATTAACGCCGCTTGTGAGTTACAAAAATAAATAATCCTTTTTGACGAAATTCCCAGTGAAGGCCGATTTGACATTGAAAAGAAAAATTACTGTCCGCTCACATCATGAAACGGTTTCCATCAATATGGGACGTTTCCATGGGAACTGCAAACGATGTAAACAAGTAAAAGAGCGCTGCCTACTTAGTATTCGCGAACTTGGTGATATGATCGGATGGAGAAATGGTTTAACGGAAGTAAATTGTGGTTACTGGGGAACCAATTGCAACTGCTTCCTAAGAGGTATGGAAATTTTGTTAGCTTAATTTACGGACTGTCATTGAGTTTATAGCATTCCTTTGTTGACAAATGTAGATAATTTTAATATTCTTATTGTTCCATCATATGTTTGTTTGCCTACCTGTTAAAGGTGTTGCTAGGAAGGGCGAATAAGAATATAAAGAAAACTAATGTATACAAATAATATGGGTTGTGACCGAGATAACACTCGCCTAATCTATATCTAAGTGAAAATAAAGAGAAAATTTGTAATGGTAATATTAATATGCGGGTATGTAAATACTTATTTGAGTAATAAAAAACTTGATAGTTTAACAATTTTATCACATATCTTTTAATGTTTACTATTAATCTTAGAGTCTTTGATTTACAACCCCTAATAATGATCCATTTTAATAACTACTATAACAATACATATTTCTAGCCAAAAATACCACGATATAATTTTTGTGACAGTATTCAATAATATTCAGTAGTATTCAATAATATTCAATAATATTCAGTAGTATTCAATAATATTCAATAATATTCAATAATATTCAATAATATTCAATAATATTCAATAATATTCAATAATATTCAATAATATTCAATAATATTCAATAATATTCAATAATATTCAATAATATTCAATAATATTCAATAATATTCATAATATTCAATAATATTCAATAATATTCAATAATATTCAATAATATTCAATAATATTCAATAATATTCAATAATATTCAATAATATTCAATAATATTCAATAATATTCAATAATATTCAATAATATTCAATAATATTCAATAATATTCAATAATATTCAATAATATTCAATAATATTCAATAATATTCAATAATATTCAATAATATTCAATAATATTCAATAATATTCAATAATATTCAATAATATTCAATAATATTCAATAATATTCAATAATATTCAATAATATTCAATAATATTCAATAATATTCAATAATATTCAATAATATTCAATAATATTCAATAATATTCAATAATATTCAATAATATTCAATAATATTCAATAATATTCAATAATATTCAATAATATTCAATAATATTCAATAATATTCAATAATATTCAATAATATTCAATAATATTCAATAATATTCAATAATATTCAATAATATTCAATAATATTCAATAATATTCAATAATATTCAATAATATTCAATAATATTCAATAATATTCAATAATATTCAATAATATTCAATAATATTCAATAATATTCAATAATATTCAATAATATTCAATAATATTCAATAATATTCAATAATATTCAATAATATTCAATAATATTCAATAATATTCAATAATATTCAATAATATTCAATAATATTCAATAATATTCAATAATATTCAATAATATTCAATAATATTCAATATATTCAATAATATTCAATAATATTCAATAATATTCAATAATATTCAATAATATTCAATAATATTCAATAATATTCAATAATATTCAATAATATTCAATAATATTCAATAATATTCAATAATATTCAATAATATTCAATAATATTCAATAATATTCAATAATATTCAATAATATTCAATAATATTCAATAATATTCAATAATATTCAATAATATTCAATAATATTCAATAATATTCAATAATATTCAATAATATTCAATAATATTCAATAATATTCAATAATATTCAATAATATTCAATAATATTCAATAATATTCAATAATATTCAATAATATTCAATAATATTCAATAATATTCAATAATATTCAATAATATTCAATAATATTCAATAATATTCAATAATATTCAATAATATTCAATAATATTCAATAATATTCAATAATATTCAATAATATTCAATAATATTCAATAATATTCAATAATATTCAATAATATTCAATAATATTCAATAATATTCAATAATATTCAATAATATTCAATAATATTCAATAATATTCAATAATATTCAATAATATTCAATAATATTCAATAATATTCAATAATATTCAATAATATTCAATAATATTCAATAATATTCAATAATATTCAATAATATTCAATAATATTCAATAATATTCAATAATATTCAATAATTCAATATATTCAATAATATTCAATAATATTCAATAATATTCAATAATATTCAATAATATTCAATAATATTCAATAATATTCAATAATATTCAATAATATTCAATAATATTCAATAATATCAATAATATTCAATAATATTCAATAATATTCAATATATTCAATAATATTCAATAATATTCAATAATATTCAATAATATTCAATAATATTCAATAATATTCAATAATATTCAATAATATTCAATAATATTCAATAATATTCAATAATATTCAAATAATATTCAATAATATTCAATAATATTCAAGTAATATTCATATTATTATTCAATAATATTCAATAATAGTTCACAATAATATTCAATAATATTCAATAATATTCAATAATATTCAATAATATTCAATAATATTCAATAATATTCAATAATATTCAATAATATTCAATAATATTCAATAATATTCAATAATATTCAATAATATTCAATAATATTCAATAATATTCAATAATATTCAATAATATTCAATAATATTCAATAATATTCAATAATATTCAATAATATTCAATAATATTCAATAATATTCAATAATATTCAATAATATTCAATAATATTCAATAATATTCAATAATATTCAATAATATTCAATAATATTCAATAATATTCAATAATATTCAATAATATTCAATAATATTCAATAATATTCAATAATATTCAATAATATTCAATAATATTCAATAATATTCAATAATATTCAATAATATTCAATAATATTCAATAATATTCAATTATATTCAATAATATTAAATAATATTCAATAATATTCAATAATATTCAATAATATTCAATAATATTCAATAATATTCAATAATATTCAATAATATTCAATAATATTCAATAATATTCAATAATATTCAATAATATTCAATAATATTCAATAATATTCAATAATATTCAATAATATTCAATAATATTCAATAATATTCAATAATATTCAATAATATTCAATAATATTCAATAATATTCAATAATATTCAATAATATTCAATAATATTCAATAATATTCAATAATATTCAATAATATTCAATAATATTCAATAATATTCAATAATATTCAATAATATTCAATAATATTCAATAATATTCAATAATATTCAATAATATTCAATAATATTCAATAATATTCAATAATATTCAATAATATTCAATAATATTCAATAATATTCAATAATATTCAATAATATTCAATAATATTCAATAATATTCAATAATATTCAATAATATTCAATAATATTCAATAATATTCAATAATATTCAATAATATTCAATAATATTCAATAATATTCAATAATATTCAATAATATTCAATAATATTCAATAATATTCAATAATATTCAATAATATTCAATAATATTCAATAATATTCAATAATATTCAATAATATTCAATAATATTCAATAATATTCAATAATATTCAATAATATTCAATAATATTCAATAATAGTCAATAATATTCAATAATATTCAATAGTATTCAATAATATTCAATAATATTCAATAATATTCAATAATATTCAATAATATTCAATAATATTCAATAATATTCAATAATATTCAATAATATTCAATAATATTCAATAATATTCAATAATATTCAATAATATTCAATAATATTCAATAATATTCAATAATATTCAATAATATTCAATAATATTCAATAATATTCAATATTCAATAATATTCAATAATATTCAATAATATTCAATAATATTCAATAATATTCAATAATATTCAATAATATTCAATAATATTCAATAATATTCAATAATATTCAATAATATTCAATAATATTCAATAATATTCAATACTATTCAATAATATTCAATAGTGATCAATACTATTCAATAGTATTCAATAGTCTATTCTATTCTATTCATTGAATATTTTAAAAGGGAATATTTTGAGAAGCAGTAACGTAATTTGTATTGTGTTTTACATTTTTTGCTAACGTTACCAGTGCTCCTCGTATATTACAATTTGTTAATTATCGTGTATATGTACTTAGTTTTTTTTATTGCATTTTCATGTTCTCTTTATTAAAATACAAGATGATGTCTACATTTGTCATTAATTCCAACACAATAAAAATATCAACACATTTTAAATTACCTGTCCCCAATGCTTATCTACACTCAATAGGAAAATTAAAAGGAAACATCGATATCGTGATGAAATTTGTTATTCTCCATTCCACATGCAAAGTTCATTTCATTCCATATCAAGCCACAATCTAAATGTAGATATCGGAAATAATGCCTGGTTCAATAAAAAAAATTGCATTGTTAAACAGCCAAGAATATAAAATTTCCGCACTTACACTGCACCACATAAAACTCACATAAATTTTCTAATAAAAAATTACTTTTTATGCGGTAATTCTCGAATTATTTGATTAAAATCACGACATTTTGTTTTCCGGTTCTGAATTAATTCTCAAGTAAATTAGAAATAGGTACTCAAAAAGTCTCCCAAACGTCATCGCCAAAGTATCTGTTGAAAAGACCAACATATTTTTGTTCGTCAAAACATTTAACTCAAACCGCCCCTGGCATTACTAGAAATAATCGAAAGCGCTGCGTCACTCTTCTTCGCGCTAAATACAAATCACAAAATGTTATTAAATGTTCTCACGTGATCGTTGGCTCACAGATAGTTGGTTGAACCTAACCGACGTGAGATGCCACCTTCCTTTTGGCTCGCGTCCCTAGCAGAATAAAATTTCTCTCAATAACGACTGTAGAATATCTACCGGCGTGCATCGCAATGTTAAAATTTTACTAATGCCATCGTACATAAAATTATATGAACGATGCTAATGCTTAATAATATTCAATAGTAACAGGCTGTAATGAATTTTCTTAGTTTTTA